CAGCATTAGGGATGCAATCATCGATAAGAATCGTGTAGGCCCTAAACCGTTCTGGTGCGTTACCAGTTTCGCCACTGCGGCTCTTGTCAACTTGAACTTACTTTGCTATTCTTGAACTCAAGCTACGGATTACTGTGTAACGGAAGACTCCCGATTATCGGCCGTGATGAAGAAAATTGTTTAAAAAAAATTTTATTTATAAAATTTCAGAGTAATAATTTATTTATGCAATTGACTGAATTGAAAAAAAAATTAATGACAGTAAAAAAAATTACCGCAGCTCGGATTCGAACCGAGAACTCCAGATTGCCGTTTATCAATGACGTGGGAAGCGTGTTAACGATGACTGTCACCGGGATAGAATTAACACGCAACACACCCCCCGCACGGTACTACATCGGTCCCCAAACGAGAGCTTCCCAACGCCGAGATTTGAAATCGTTTTGAAGCAATTGTTGATAGGACCTAGTAGCCTGCCATCGTTCTGGCGCGTTACCAGTTTCGCCACTGCGGCTCTTGGCAACTTGAGCTTACTTTGCTATTCTTAAACTCAGCTACGAATTACTGTGTAATGGAAGACTCCCGATTATCGGCCGTGATGAAGAAAATTGTTTACAAAAAATTTTATTTATAAAATTTCAGAGTAATAATTTATTTATGCAATTGACTGAATTGAAAAAAAAAAATTAATGACAGTAAAAAAAATTACCGCAGCTCGGATTCGAACCGAGAACTCCAGATTACCGAGAGCCTAGGGAGTGTTGCGTTCAGAAACGAAAACACACTGATTACAAAGAACCAACACATCCCGCGGTGGTTTCTACAACGATTCCTCAAACAAGAGCTTCCTTAATGACGATGCCCACAGCATTAGGGATGCAATCATCGATAAGAATCGTGTAGGCCCTAAACCGTTCTGGTGCGTTACCAGTTTCGCCACTGCGGCTCTTATCAACTTGAACTTACTTTGCTATTCTTGAACTCAAGCTACGGATTACTGTGTAACGGAAGACTCCCGATTATCGGCCGTGATAAAGAAAATTGTTTAAAAAAAATTTTATTTATAAAATTTCAGAGTAATAATTTATTTATGCAATTGACTGAATTGAAAAAAAAAAATTAATGACAGTAAAAAAAATTACCGCAGCTCGGATTCGAACCGAGGACTCCAGATTGCCGCATATCACAGACGTGGGAAGCGTATTAACCTGGAATGTACACTAAGAGACGATCAACACGCAACAGACCCCCTGCACGGTACTACATTGGTCCCCGAATGAAAGCTTCCCAACGTCTGATAACACCATTTTGAAGCAACCATTGATAGGACCTAGTAGCCTGCCATCGTTCTGGCGCGTTACCAGTTTCGCCACTGCGGCTCTTGGCAACTTGAGCTTACTTTGCTATTCTTAAACTCAGCTACGAATTACTGTGTAATGGAAGACTCCCGATTATCGTCCGTGATAAAGAAGATAGTTTGGAATAAATTTTATATTTAAAATTTACTAAAAAGAAAAATTTTCTTCCACTCAATAACTTTGATTATGTATTAAATTTTTTTCATTGCAATTATAAAATTATTCATTTATACTTTTTTAATTTAGTCAATTTTATGCTTGCTAATGCGATACCTCGGGTAGTTTAAACGTCAGAACGTCCTGATTTACATGAAAATTGTTTGACATACCTTCCCTACATAATTGAGGTAAACTTTTTTCTTAATATTTTTTTGGCTTAAGGTTCTTATGAAAACTTCGGTAATATAAAAAAAGAAAAAGTAAACTAGCACAGTTATTAAAAATTCTCTTGAGAAAATCACGCGATAAACTTTTCTCAAAAACTTTTATTAGTTTATTTTATTCATAAATTTGTTTCTCCGATTTTATGCCAAAACAAATCGTGAATCGTTTGAATTTCATAAATAATAAAACTGTTTTTCCAATCAATCAGGATTTTTTTCCACTTTTATCATTATATTATATCCTATTTCCTCATTCCTCAGTATCGGTTTATTTTCAGTTGATTGTAACTTAGATGAAGAAGTTGAAAAAAAAAATAGAATAAATGGGCCGTCGTAAAAATCGATTAGTACTGATAGTTTCTTAACAAAAATTTATCTTTTTTCCTATTTAGTGGGTTTCATCAATTTACAGTTTGGTTAAATACACTCGGAAAACAGTAATGAGATATCTCAGTAAACCTTTTTATCTTCATTTTTACTAAAAATAAAAAGAGACCGCTTTTATTGACTTATTTTTCTCTCTTGAGGTAATATTTCTCAACAACTTTCCGCTTAATTATAGTTGAGTATACCAATGATATGAGCTTCCTTAGATATCATCAATTACTGTCAGCATTAGTGTTTACGCAATTTATTTTCAATTAATTACTGCACGGATTTTCTAGATAATTAATACTCAAACAGACTATTTTTATATTTATATTTTTCTATGGAAATTTTTAATTAATATTCTCTAAATAACTTTCTTCGTAGTAATGACTCACCATCATTATCGTAAACAGCGCAAATAAGCGTAATAATAATTAGCAATTATCAAGTATTCTCATAAATTGGAAGCACGTAGCAAACAAAGGTTACAGATTCCAGGTTGTAAACATCAATAGCGTAGATAGCTCATTACTCATTGTAAACACAAGTTCGATGTAATTCAAAACCAGAGATAGTTGGCTCCTTGTTTTTGCTCAACAGTAAGTAACCAAGGAAGTACAGACAACAGACTTTCAGCGTCGAGTAATTTGCATCTAACTTTTCTTCTATCCTCGGTCCAACTAACAGTTGAATTAAATTCAACTTCGTAATTTGACTATAGTCTTCGCTTTATAATTTTTTCTTTCAATTTATTACTGTCGCTTTATTTATTCTTACTGATTTAATTATCTTTATTGAACGGGGGCTCTATCGTTTTTATTTCCGTGGGCAAATACAAAATTCAATCACGGTAATCACTCGATTTATTCCGTGTCATTAAATTGGAACTTTTGAATTGATGTTTGATGAATTTCAATTGATTTTATTAATTAATGTAAATGGAACTAACGATCTTCATTGTAACAAGCTTGAGTTGAATCAAAATATCAGGAGCGTTTATTCATACCGCGATCGGCGCCGAGGGTTGGACAGCAATTATGAGCTTATTCGAAATTACTGACCAGACTAGGTTGTTCACTACCTGTATTAGATTGCATACAAACAATCCATACTTTTTCTGTTACCTTACAATCTTCTCTTATATACAAAATAATAAAACTTGCATTCTATTGGATTGTCTCGGCTTTATTTATACAACATATTTCCGGCTTGGTACAACTTAAATTTCCTAATAAATATAAAAAAAAATTAATTTGAAATTTGAAATTAAAACTATGGATGAAATAATAACAATAAGAAAAATTAATCATAAGAATTTTTTTAAATAAAAAAAAAAATACCGCAGCTCGGACTCGAACCGAGAACTCCAGATTACCGAGAGTCTGGGGTGAGCGTTGACTCTAGACACACAGCACAGCACAGAAATTCCTACTAAAGGGTCAACGCCTTCCGCGGCGGTGTCTACAACGATTCCTCAAACGAGAGCTTCCTTAATGACAATGACGCAGGAGCATTAGGGATGCAATCATCGATAAGAATCGTGTAGGCCTTAAACCGTTCTGGCGCGTTACTTTTTTTTTTTTGAAAAGAAGTTTATTTGCTTTATTTTAATTACATAGGTTTTACAATAAATATTCGGCTGCAAATCAACTTAAAAACTAGCCATTATGTTATGTTTATTAATAAGATATGAGTCTCCGTGTGTGGAGCTACTCATATCAATCGTATATGTGGATCTGAATTATTAGAACCTAAATATTTTGTTAATTAAATATGTATTGAGAGGTATCCAATTAGGATATAAATTCTTGTTAGTTGAGGAGCGGTGGGAAAATTGCAAAAACCCTCGCTTAGCTTATTAAAAAGTTTCTGTCTGCTGTGCTGCTGTCTTAGACAATAATGATTCTATGATCTACTTAATGTATCATATGAGTTTATCATAAATATAATATAAAAATTGATTTTATAATATATTTGGATAGTCATAATTCATAATTTATTTATCTTACCGAATTTCATTATAATATAACACTTATTTAAATAATAAAATAAATAATGATTTCACTATTACGTAGTAGCAGAGCAGACAAAACATCTCATAGGAAATGTGACAAATTTTGTATTTCAGAATTATTTAAACGTAATTATAAACATCATTTTACACTTTTTGTGATTACCAAAAAAAATTTTTATGTATGTTAATTATATATAACCATATATAATTATATATGGGACTATGTACAATCTTGCATAGCTGTATATTGCTCCATATATAGTAATATATAATTATATATGATTATATATAATCTCATACACAATTCCATATATAATCATGTATGATTATATAATTCCATATATAATCATATATATAATTATATATGACTATATATAGAGAAATATACAGCCAAGCAAGATTATATATAATCATATATAGTTATATATAATCATACATAATTATATATAATCATACATGATGATATATGGAATTGTATATGAGGTCATATATAAGTATATATGACTATATATAGAGCAATGTACAGCCAAGCAAGATCATATATAATCATATATGGTTATATATAATCATACATGATTATAAATGGAATTGTGTATGAGGTTATATATAATCATATATAATTATATAGAATTATATAAAATTATATATAATCATACATAATTATATATAATCATACATGATGATATATGGAATTGTATTTGAGAGGTATCCAATTAGGATATATATTCTTGTTAGTTGAGGAGCGGTGGGAAAATTGCAAAAACCCTCGCTTAGCTTATTAAAAAAAATTAATAGTGAAAAAAGAAAATAAAAATATTAAAGTAAAAAGATTATAGCTTAAATCTATACATATATACAAATATACATATTAACACTTCACCACGTCGCCGACCAGCCGTTGAGCTTTCTTAATTTTAATTTTATACGATGGCAGGAGTCCTCTAGCCACCAGTATCTTTCATCAAGACTGTAGAAGTCCATTTTATCTCGTTCTGGTAAGGCCATTGAATAAACTGGATCATATTTATTGTTGGCAATCATATCAGTTGTCAAATTAATTCTTTTGTTTGCTACATTTCTGCCCCAATGATATATTGTTGGTACGTTGTTGCTGTCTTGTATGATGCCTTTTTTGTCAAAGTAGATAAACGCTTGGGGTGGTAGGCAAGCTGAGTTGTGGTTCGTGATGTAGATCTGTTGGTCAGGTGTTTCCAAGATCTTTTCAATTTCTTTATTCTCAATTGAAGAGAGTTTCGCAAAGTAATCTCGTGTTAACTTAATTATAAAATTGTCGATCCGGGGGATGTTAGCAATGTTGTATAGAGTTTCATTGCTGATTTGCTTCTTGAAGTTGGACTCACGAGAGCGGTATACCCTCAGGCAAGTCCTAATACATTTGCGATTCAGGACTCGGATTTTTTCCATAAAGGATGCGCTGGTGTTCCACCAAATTGGGCTGGCGTAGGTGATAATTGGCCGGATCAGTAGTTGATGGCATATAATTTTAGCCCTGCTAGTCAAGTGTTTGCAGTAGAATAAGCTTCGATTGGCTTTAAAAGCTGCTGAAGCTTTGTTCAGCTGAATATTAATATGTTTATTCAGACGCAATTTGTCGTCGAGATATACTTCAAGGTATTTTACTATTGACTTGTGAGGGATGCGTTTACTACTGTATCCGTACCTGGATTGGTACCTTTCAGTGTGAAGGTGTTAAGTCCTGGTCTGCTACCTTTGGTTAGGAAATGAGTCGATCGGCGAAAGACTATTGTTTCACATTTTGTGTAGTTTATTCTTAGGTTCCAGGTTTGCATGAATTCGTCTATTACATTTAGAAGCTTTTGGAAGCCGTCTTGGATCTTCAGTGGGGACTTTCCAGGCAGGTACACCACCAAGTCATCTGCAAAGGCGATGGCTTTTAGATCACCTTTATTTAAATCGAAAGAACTGAGTAGGGTGCTGAAATAAATTGAAAAGAGGGTGGGAGAGTTGACAGTTCCCTGTTGAAGTCCCTCAAGTATTTTAAAAGTTGTGTTTGTGGAGTTGGTTCCGTCCCAAATAATAAACGTTTTGTCGTGTATCATATCGAATATTAATAGAGTCATCCATTCAGGAAATTCAAGCTTTATTAATCTATATATCAGGCCATTAAGCCATACAGAGTCGAAGGCTTTCTCCAAGTCAATTAAGAGAGCTCCGACTTCTGGTGCGTTACCAGTTTCGCCACTGCGGCTCTTGTAGACTTGAAATTACTTTGCTATTCTTAAACTCAAGCTACGAATTACTGTGTAATGGAGCACACCCGATTATCGGCCGTGATAAAGAAAATTGTTTAAAAAAATTTTATTTATAGAATTTCAGAGTAATAATTTAATTATGCAACTGACTGAATTTTAAAAAAAAATTAATGACAAAAAAAAATTACCGCAGCTCGGATTCGAACCGAGAACTCCAGATTGCCGTTTATCAATGACGTGGGAAGCGTGTTAACGATGACTGTCACCGGGATAGAATTAACACGCAACACACCCCCCGCACGGTACTACATTGGTCCCCGAATGAAAGCTTCCCAACGTCTGACAACACCATTTTGAAGCAACCATTGATAGGACCTAGTAGCCTGCCATCGTTCTGGCGCGTTACCAGTTTCGCCACTGCGGCTCTTGTAGACTTGAAATTAATTTGCTATTCTTAAACTCAAGCTACGAATTACTGTGTAATGGA